TTCTTCATTTCACATGGCATAAAGCCTTAAAGACTAGTGTTGCTTGGTTTGATGGGCATACGCACATAGTCGTATGGGTTTGTTCTTTATTATGTGTAACTTCCCTATGCTCGTGTGAACTTCTTCCAGACTTTGTGTCTCCGTTTAGTGCACTTTATATGGAATGCCTTTTGCCCGTGTGCTACTTCTTTTCCCTTATAAGGCGTTTTTTCTTTAACACTTGCATAGCCGTGTCACTTTCCTTTCTCTAATCATGTGGAAAGCCACTTGCCTTTATGGCTTTGTTGCTAAGCAATCCACATGGGTTTTTTGATTAGTGTCACACGGCTAATGACTATTTTCCTTTGTAAATGGCACGACCGTGTGACTCTTTTAAGCCTTCTTGGTGATTTTTCTTCTCCTTGCTTTGGTTTAGGGTTCTTTTGCTTCAATTCACCATTTTTCCTACAAAACCAAAATCGTCATCTTGATCTTAATTAACTAAATATAATATAATAAATACTAGAAAGTTCAATGTAAAAGAGCATAAAAATCATGATAATTATGCATTCATCAAATATTGATGGGTTTTTTTATCTTTAATATGTTATTTCATTTTATCTTTAATCATATTATATTGTTGAGTGTTTTTATTTTTAATAGATTTGAAAAATGGTAAATAAAGTAATAAACAAAGGTGAGTGAAACTACGATTATCATTATACTTTGACTTTTAAAAGTGGACACTTAATATAGGATCAGTAATTGATTGTGTAATAACCACAATATGGTAGACCATTTATAAACAAGCGTCAACATGTAGGCTAGATATAAGATTTGGTTTTTATGGTTAGCATTTTTAAAAATTTATTTTTAAAATACTTGAAACCATGCATTAAAGAGTGTCATTACCCATGTGTAGAAACAAATTAGTCTTAAGATGTGTAAAAACTAGTTTAGAAAAACTTTATTAATAACCTAAAAAAGTAATTGATTGTGTAATTAATATAGTATCCTTGTTTGGTATTAAGACGGACCTTTACACCTACAAGGATTACGCACTCTTATAAATCCTATCCAAATTAACCATGGTCAAAAATAGTAATTCTATTCAATTCCTGCCTCTATGATATTAGGTTAAAGATAGACTCTATTTTCTCCTGTGTTTATATCTATTTACTCTTGTAGCTATCCTTCTTTCTTGTAAAACCTCTATAAATAACGAGTGGTACGTAATACAACGATTAAAAAAAAGACATATACAAAAACTCTTTCTCATCTATTTTATTTTGGCATCAATGCCTTCAAAAACTAACTATTGAATTTTTTTTTCTACAACATATCCTTCCTTCCTAAATTAAATGGCATCCTTTAGCAACACCTCTCTTACTGCCACCATGCCTTACTAGCCTTCATCATTTCACCTCGGTTCCCTTACCAATGTTCATCATTTCCTCTCTTTGAAACTCACTCCAACCAATTTCTTAATATGGCACATCTAATCGAAACCCTTTGTAATACCTTGAACTCATAAATAAATGAATTAATATATATTAAACATGTGTAAAAATTTCCTTGCATGTATAGAAAAATTGCTAAAGGGGTGTTAGAATATTCGAGTGCACTTAACGAATTTCTCTATGTTTGATGAATATTTTATTGACTTTTTTGGGTGTGAATAGTGCATTTTTATGCAAAATAATTATTTTAAGTGCTTAAATTTGTGCATAAAAATTATATGATTGATGAATAAATTACTATAAGAAGTGTATGGATTTATGGTGAAAAGAAGTTATTTTTTAAAAATGCATAAGATTACTTATGTGCATAAGGATTTAATTGCATAAAGTTAGGGATCTAATTGCATAAAATTAAAAATTTTGACCATTAAATACATTAGGAAATAAACTTTATGGGGTATAAAGACATTGAAAAAGTCTTAGAGAAGGAACAAAAGTAGTCAATTGAAAATTAGAGGGGCCTAAATGTAGGGATGAAAATAAAATAATATGACAAATCTAGGGAACAAAATGAAACGTTTGGCTAAGATTTTTCTTTCCTTTTGCTACCTCTCACTCTTAGTAATTAAGCGTAATTAATGAATTTAAAAAATGGAGGGATAAGATTAGGAAAGGATGGATTATTAAAATTTAAAGAAAGATGGGTGGTCAAAATTAAACCAAATGAAAGGCTAGGATTAAAAGAAGAATCAAAGGTGGAGATCAAGTCAAAAAAAGAAAAGAAAAATCCACCCAATCTCACTTTTAAATTTGGCATAAAGGAGGAAGAAAAAAGGTTGAAAATTTTAGAAAATTAGGGTAAACTCTTGCAAAACTTTCCTAGGAAATCATAAGTCAATTCCACCTAAACACTAAAAACACTATTAAATCACCTAATTGAGATTGGAATTTCAAGTGGAAGATCAAGAATACCAAGGAGGAAACATTTAGCATTTGGTCGAAACTTAGAGGAAGAAAGGAGGGAAAAAAACTCAACCTAAAAAGGGTTTAATTGAAGCAATAAAGGTAAGTTAATATCACCAACATCATAAGGACTTGTTATTTGATGTGAGTTATTGGTTATGCACACTTAATTCAAGTTTGATTGAATTAATTTCATAAATTAGGGTTAGGGTTCTTGATTACATAAAATTGGAGGAGATGATTCAGTTATAAAAATTGGTAAAATTGAAGTTGAAGTATGTTAATTAAATATAGAAACAAGTATGAAAAAAGCAAAATTTCCTAGCCTACTTCATAATGAAACTTTCGACCCAAATAGTGATTGTTAGGATTTATTATCTTTTTTTTTATTGATGTTTAATTGATGGAAAACATGTTATTGATTTCTAATTAGATGATTTAGCATGAGAATTGGAAGTAAAATTAAAAATTTCACTTAGTTTCACTTAGCCATACATTCAGCCTAAATAGTGAAAATTAGGGTTTTTAGTGCATTTGAACTATTGATGTTTAATTAATTGATTATATGTCATTGAAGTATATGTAGATGATTTAGTATAGAAATTGGCATTAAAATTAAAAAATCAACTTAGCTCAAGCTAGGTGCACATTCGACCTAAGGTCGAAAGATTAGGGTTAAAAGGTTGATTTGTGTATCATGGTAGTTAAATAGTTTACATGTTGTAATTAATGATTTGATTTCATGATAAATTAATTACAACGCATGTGTTCAAAGTGTGCAATTAAGTGTTTGTGGCATGATTGCTTAGGCTTATGAAATTGTTACATCGATGAGTGAATTGATGTAATGCCTTATCACTTGAATGGTGTTGTCAATTGTGTTTCATGATTTGTATGGATATGTGAAATGTGATGTTACATGGTACACTTTGTTAAATGTTTGCCTTATTGAATTTTTTACCTTGATTAAAATGTAATACAAGGAAAGGTAATAGGTTTTGATGTGTATTTTATTATGTTGAGGTATGTAATTTTCATTGCATAAATGCACACATATTCATGGTATACATTACATTGATTCATGGGATTATGCATTCACATTAAATGCATATGCATGCCAATATCATGAAAAGGATTTTTTTTTAATGATTTTTCAAAGGCAAAGGAAAATTATCATGGTTTTCATGGTCTCTAACATTTCCTTTCGAAGAATTTCTCATTGGGGGAATTGATAATGGCTCTAGTTGATAGGAAATGGCAAGCCATTTCTTTCACCAAGGAAATTTGTAATGGCATCAACTAAAGAGTTTCTTCCTTGAGGGAATTAGTAAAGGTCCCATTAGAAGGAAATGGCATTTTTGGTCAAGGGAATTGGTAATGGCCTCGACTGTAGGGGAGATTAGTATAATGGCTTCATAAGAGAAATTCTCAAGGAAAAGGGTCGAGCATGTACGGACGTGTACATTTAAAAGCTTGGCAAGGTGTGTCCGAACATAGAAAATATTTTTCAAAATGAACATAGCATGGATTCCATGGAAAGGATTTCAAGGACATGAAATGGATTTCAAAGTGCATTTACTTAAAAAAGAGGGAAAGTAGACATAGAAATAAATAAATCACTTTTGTAGTAGTGTGGTACTAAACTAGCGATCATGTGAAAGCAAAAGAGGTTATATGTTAGCCAAAATTTGGATATGTTAAATATGTAATAATATAGTAATGTGTCGTTGTAGATTTTATTAGTTTAATTCTTGTATACTATTTTTTAATAATAATGACACGATAAGTCAAGTAATTGTATAAAAGACGTTACTTAGACTATCGATTAATAGGTATTAGTTAGATGAATTTATTCGGCTTATAGGAAAAGAATTTGACAAAATCGAGAGACACGAATCCAGTTATTTTAGTTAGAACTATTAAAATAAAATGTTAAAATTGAAAATTTTAATAATGCATTTTAGGTTGAAATTTGTAAGGAAAGTTGGACCTATTAGTTATTTAATAAGCTTTTGTAGCACAAACCATACCTAATAACACCATAGGAAAGACATAGTGCCTTTTGTCTTACATTCACTATGAAGCATAGCAATAACATCTCAACCTAATTAGTTCCTAGGTTGCGGGCGTTATAGCCTTTTTCCTTGGTCAAGGCTTATTTGGTTTTGTTGATGGCTTCGGTGTTTGCCCTCTTCGTCAAGTTACTCCGGTTGACTCTAACTCTCCTCAAGACAATCCTTCTCATCTTACTTGGATTTAACAAGATTAATTGCTCATGAGTCTTTTATTGCCTCTCTATCTATATATGTTCTACCTATGGTCATTGATTGCACTACATCCCAAGAGGTTTGGATAGTTCTTGAATAGGTTTTTGCTTTCTTATCAAGCACTCGAATCATGATGTTATATCTCGCACTATAAAACTTGCATCAAGAACCCAACGAACCTATTTCTTTATACATATAACTTGCTAAATCTCACGATTATGAGCTCACTACTACTAGCCGCCCCTTATAGGTTATTAACCTTAACTTATATGTGTTCAAAAGATTGGTAGAAGACTTTAAAGACATTATCACCAACTTGTCTATTAGATCTATGCCGACCAATTTTACTAAGCTTCATAGTCTCCTCCTTAGCCATGAATTCATGAACAAAGAATCCACTTTTGTGCCCTTAACTATTGCTCATACTCCCGGTCTTTCACCCACTCAACCATCAACACATTTTGTTCAAAAGAATCAAGGCACCTTTCATAATGGTAGAGGTAGAAGGTTTCGAAAGCGTGGATGTGGCTGCTATAACGAAAGATCTAATAATAACGCTTATACATTTACATGGGGTTCTTGGACTTTCATGGATAATAAAACTAGATGTCAACTTTGCACATTTTAGAGCTACACTACTCTACATTGTCGTCAATGGTTTCTTCAACCTATTACTCTTTTAACTAATTTGGTAGCTTATTCTTATGCTCATTCCTCCGGTTCCATGATTCTCTTGTGGTGCCTAGATACTAAAGCCTCACACAATGTCACTCCGGATCTAACCTCGCTCAACACTTATGAACCATATCGTGGTCCCGATAAACTTCGGATGGGAAATGGTGAGTACTTACCTATAGCTTATATTGGCGGTAGCCACAATCAAACACCTTCAAAATCTCTTACTTTATTTGATGTTTTATATGTTCCCCATATCATAAAACTCTTACTTTTTGTTCAAAAACTAACCCGTGATAATAATGTATTTTAAAAATTTCACCCTTCTTCTTTACGTCTAAGGGAGTACACAAGACACCTCTACTTTCTAAGCCGAGTGATGCTGACCTTTATGCCTTGCCTACCTCTTCCCATTCATCTAGTCCTTAAGCATTCTCTATCCAAGCCTTTGCTAATCTTTGGTATTTTCGATTGGGTCATCTACATAATTGAGTACTTCGACTTAATTTAAAAAATTCAACTTTATCAAAATCTTTAACATTGTCCACTTCATGTTTGTCAAATCTATTACAAAAAACAAGTCGATTGTCTTTAGCTTTTTCTTCACATAATACTATTAGCATTTTAGAGTTAATTTTTACTATTGTTTACGGTCCTTCACCTACTTGCTTCGGTTAAGGGACATAAATATTATTTTATCTCTCGTTGATCGCTTCTCAAAATTCATTTGGTTGTATCCAATTCATAAAAAAATGGATATTTTTTCAATCTTTATTCAATTTCAAACTCTCATGGAAAAATAATTCCATTATAAAATTAAACGAGTCCAAACAAATTGAGGTGGTGAACACTATTGTCTAAACATGTTCTTTAAAAATATTGGAATTAATCATCGGATTATGTGTCCCCACATTCATGAACAGAATAGAACAATAGAATGATGTCATTGCCACATTATTGAAATCGGCTTAATTTTGTTAGGCAAAACAGGTGTCCTTAGATCTTACCGGCACTTTACTTTTGAAACGGTGATTTTTCTTATCAATTGCATGCCCTCTTTAGTCTCAAATTTTATTTCTCCTTACAAAATTACAAATTCCACAAATCAGATTACTCTTTTCTAAAATTTTTTCATTACTTTTTTTTTCATATTTACATACCTATAATAAAAAAAATGGATTTTCGTTCCCTCCCTTGTGTCTTCCTTGGTTATAGTCCATTTCATTTAGGTTACTATTGTCTAGACACCAAGACTAATAGAATGTACATTACCCGTCATGTTAGATTCATCGAGTCCGTCTTTCCTTTTTCCATTAAAAATATTTAGTCCACCTCTACCTAGTCACCTTCCATCTCCCATCCTTGGCTTAGTGTTCTTGTACAAAATAACTCATTTTTTTCTCCCACGGCTACTAGTTCAACACACGTGACTCCTTCTCTACCTCCCTCACCCAATTCTATCTAGACGTCTACTTCTCCACTTGTATCGGCCCTCAATCCAAATTTAAACTAACATCAACTTGTTTTTCAATCCAATAACCATATCCTACCCGACAAGCTTATCCCACTAAAAAACCCTTGATCCTATAGCTATCGCTAACCTAATTACTACCCTAAAACCATTAGCTCCTAACTACTCCAACATCTAATCCTAACCCATATGAAACCCAACTTCTCCTACTCTAGCCACTCACTCTATTTATCCCCAAATGACCCACACCTTACTAACATCTATTCCTTATCTTTAGTTTCAAGAACCTTCACACAAGTACCTTTCTCTTAATACTTCTCCTGTTAACCCATCCTTACCATCACATGCTTCTTCCTCACCACCAAATTCAATTTACGCACACCACAAACTTGACTTAAATTTAATTATTGATTTAAGTTAGTATAACCACGATACCTAGACCCTTCCCTCCGATAGCCCATACCAAATTCACACTCACCTAATGATCCTATGATCTATGACCAATTCTTCCAAACCAAAGGCATTATTAGCTTTCTCCTATAGCATTATCCCTAAGGCACCATCATGTTTTTCCTAAGCTCAAAAGAATAAGGATTGTCTGTAAAGCTATGTTTGCTGAAATATCAGCTATGTCAACCACTAGAACTTGGACTCTAGTTCCTTCTACTCCTACCATGAATATCATTGGTAATAAGTGGGTTTTTAAAACCAAAAAGAGAGAAGATAGCACTATCAAGCGATACAAAGGAATGTTAGTTGCCAAGGGCTATCATCAATAGAATGGCATTGATTATGAAGAAACATTTATTCTTGTGGTCAAGCAAGCTACCATCCATTGTGTTCTCACTCTATCAATATCATACCGTTGGCAAGTCAAACAATTGGATTTCCATAATGCCTTTGTGAATGGCAACCTTAATGAATAGGTCTTCATGACTCAATCACCGGGTTTTATTGATCAATGTTTTAATCACCGGGTTTTATTGATCAATGTTTTCCTCACTATGTCCGCCATCTCTACAAGTCACTTTACGACTTAAAGCAATCACCTCGGGCATGGTTTTCATGTCTCCTCGCTTTCCTTTTTTATTTTGTTTTTGTGAGCTCCAAGACCAATTGTTCCTTGTTCATCTATAATTGCCATAGGTAAAAAATTTTCCTTTTGGTCTATGTGGACAATATTCTCATCATTAATAATCGAGTCTTTATTCATTTGGTTATTTCCACTATGAACTCTAAATTTGCAACTAGAGATCTTAGTGATATTAGCTATTTCTTGGGCATTGAGGTGGTACAAATAAAACACATCATTGTCCTCTCTCAATGTAAATACATTAATCACTTAGTAATAAAATAAGGGATGCAACTCTATCGATCGGTCTCCACTTTTAATGCCTATAGCTACTAAACTCACATCAACCTCATCTCGTCCATTTTGAGGATGTGACTCTCTATCACCAAGTTATGAGAGCACCGTAATATGTGACCTTAACTCATATAGATATAACATTTGCAATTAACAAGGCATGCCAATATATGCATAATCCTCATATTAATCATTAGGTAGATGTCAAACATATCCTACGTTATCCGAAAAATATTATGAATCATGGCTTACATCTCTAAAATTCATCCGAGTGTAACCATTTTTAGATTTTTTGGACTCTAATTGGGTCGATTCGTTGAGATGATAGAAAATCAACGGGGGTTTATGCTTGTTTATCTTAAGTTCGTAATTTAATAACATAGAAGTCCTCCAAGTAGAAGATTGTAGCTCATAGTTCTACCGAAGTCGAATACAAGGCAATTGTAGACTTAGCTACTAAAATTTCTTGGCTCACCTTTCTCCTTCGTGAACTCAATATGTCGTTGTCTTCTAAACCTACTATTTGGTGTGACAATGTTGGCGTAACATTTTTAGCTATCAACCGTCTCTTCTATGCATGCACTAAACACATTGAAATTAATTTCCATTTTTTCGGATACATGGTTTTCGGGAGGAGTTTACAAGTTCATTTTATCTCTAACAAAGATTAGATAGCTAATATCCCGACAAAACAATTATCTAATAACCATTTTTAATTTCTCAAAGACAAACTAACAATAGGTGACAAACCATAATCGATTTATAGAGGAGTATTAAGATCGACCTCTACACTTACAAGGATTCGCCTCTTGCAAATCCTATCCAAGCCGCCTATGATCAACAATAGCAATATAAACCTATAAGGATTCCGCCTCTTACAAATCCTATCCAAACCGACCGTGGTAAAAAAAAAAAAGCAATTCCATTCGGTTCTCGCCTCTATTATATTTAGGCTAAAGATAGACTCTATTTTTTCCCTTACGTTTATATCTATTTACTCTTGTAGCAATTTTTTTTTCTTATAAAACCTTTATAAATAGTGAGTGTTATGTACTACAACGGTTAATAAAAAGGATATACATAGAAACTCTTTATCATCTATTTTATTTCTTGGTATCTTGTTGCTTTGGTCATTGCATTACATTGTTTGCACTATGTGTCATAAATATATTGTCCTTGCTTGGTAATTTGTTGCTTTGGCAATTGCATCACATTGTTTACGTTATGATGTCTACATTTGATGATCACTTATTTGCGATTGATAATGGTTTGTTAGATAGCCTTTAATTTTATTTTGAGATGAGCCACGTACCAAGTTATTTGATTATTTTGATTCGTTGGAGTCTAGTAAATAAGTTACTATGTACTATATAAGTCGGTTGGGGTTTTTATTACACGTAGCTGCAATCCTTTTTCATTGCACCAAAAATAAAAAGAAAAGGGTTTTTTTCTACAAGGAAAAACATTCAATATTTATTTTCCTTCTTATTTGTAACAAATCACCGGTACTTAAGTCATATTTCAAAAGTGATTTGATATAAAAATGCATATTAAAAAAAAAAACTCAAAGAACTAGATGTGCAGCTATTCATTTACTATGGCTATACACCTAGTTCTCCTATTCATTGAATATTTTCTTATTTGTTTTTTCCTTGCATGTGTTGTGTGCGTTGGTTTGATTTATTGTCTCTATTTATGTTTACTCTTTCAAAATCTGTTCTTTTTTTCTTGCCCTTCCTTTTATTGCTTTATTTCTTTTATGCAATCAAGTGGCTTTGTGTTATTATATTTTTACCCTTGGTTTACTTCATGTTCTTCCAATGTTTTTATTCTTTTAAGTCATTTTGCTTCTTCGTTAATGGAACATTTAATGCGGGTGGCTTGATTTTCTTTGTTTCATTCTTTTCCTCTCGCTTTTTCTTTCTTTTTGCTCGATAGAGATGACGTTGTGCCAATCATTATTTTCATTAGTAGGTTTGCACTCTTTTTTGCCCATTCCCTTCTTTAGCTAATTTCTTTTCTATTTTTTTTTATCAAGGCATATTCTATTACAAATTATCCTTTTTGTCATTTTTTCGTTCTCTTCACAGAGTAGT